CAAAGAATTGGCGACAGCAGTCTCACAATTCTAAATATGATACCACAACATGACAGGCAAGGAGAAAGGAATCAGCAAACAGCCAGTTGGCCACAAGCAAGAAGTCACTGGAAGACGTCCACCAGCAATTGGTCTTCGAATCTCTGTAGAATACCACATTAATGTAATCAATGTTTGATTTAGCCTCCCTTCCCCCCACACAGCTCTCCCTGGATATTGCCAAACCTTGTCAAGCAATAAGGGAAGCACAGGGAGGCACCAGTTTCTAAATCTGAAGCTGGCATGAGCCGATCTGAATTTGGGCTGGGCTCACATGTTTTCCTTCATGACAATTGATGTGCATGCGGGGTGGAGGCTTCTGCCTCGGATGATGAGGAGGACATCAGCTTTGCTGTTGAGGTTTAAAGGTGTTTGAGATTGTTTAAAAGTGTTTCAGCCTCGCTTCCACACTCACTCCGTCTAGCTGTCTAGCTGTTGAGCTCCAATGAGCCTGCAAGGAGACTTTTTGCTCACGGGGAAGGACTCCAAGCCCATGTCGCTTGACTGATTGCACATCGCCCGAAGCAGTTTGTTGCAGTTCAGTGTGGCTGCTTGCCCAAAATTCTGAACAAACAAAAATAATAACAACTATATAGTAGGTCCTCAATGTAATTTGAAACGAACACAGCGGAGGCACACAAACAGGAACAAAGATTTGGTCAGGTCCATCAGAGGGAATGCGGAGGACTCGAAAGACCTACCACATGAGCATGGTCTTTGCGGATGGCTTAGATGGGAGATGGAACCTGAAATTCTGGGTAATTCCAGAGAACCAGAAGCCAGAAGCCTCAGCCAAAGATAGATATAGAATGATATAGAGTATAGATCATGATAGATCACTTAGGTGGTGAAACTTAAATGACAGGTCACACGAGGCAAGGGAAGTATGACCTGTTTAATCGTTTCATTTGGGTCCAGTGTAGGAGGAAAGAAAAGCTTCAAATCAGAAGCCGCCGTTGCCGAAGGCGTGCGGCGTGCGGTTGAATTCTTCACGGGTCATTGTCGAGGCCAAAGGCTGTACGCTGGACCACCTTGAAGCAGTCTTTGCTTCGGGCCTCGAAGCCATGGAGGCTCGGTTCTCTGAACAAGTTCGTGAAGTTTGGAAGCAAACAAGATGAGAATCGATGAGAAAAGACAGTGTCCCACAGTGGGATCGATGAACTTGTACGCACAAGAGTTTTAAGCGGTCCTTTTCTTGACCGCGCACTCATGCGGAGGTCGGAAGGGATTGCAGGGAACCCAAGTGCAAAGGCCAATTCGGTGAGCGAAGTGTGTCACGATGTCACTTAGTCTTGTCTTTTTTGAAGACCGGAGGGGGGGTAGAATAGGGCAGACTGGAGGAAGAGGAGGTAATAGGAACTGTAAGTGTCTATCTACTAGCTAACAAGTGCCAGCCGATCGAGTAGGCTATAGTAGGCTCCGTTGCTTAAAGATTGGGTTTGATTCTTTGGTTCCAAACGATTCGTTGTGTTGCACTTAACGTCCAGCTGTCAGCGCTGTCTCAGGACCTGTGTGCAGGACTGATCAGGGAGCACTGTTGGCGACTTCTTTGTGTAGTGTTTTCTTCAGCATTTTGCAGAATAAAACAACAGTCAAGATCAATCAAAAGCATCAAGAGAGTGGTGCCAAGGGTTATGGCTGCGATTGCGCACCTTTGCTGCTGTGATTTCCATCAGGAGCACAAGTGGTCGAGTCGTCGACATGTCTTTACTGTACAAGATCCCGGATGCTGCGTCCAAAACACCACAGAATGTTTGAGAATGTGTGTAGGTCTTTTGGTAGAGTCATTACATTTGGCTTTGCATGTACCAATGCCTAGATTAGATGCTTTTGAGAGCTTGGCTCACTTTTGGACTGGACAAGCAGAAGCACCGGGCACCATACATGTCCAAGACTGGGTAACACAGTAGCTGTTGGTTGTTCAGGGTAGGTTTATTGTCCAGAGCAGGTTCATCCTGCGGGGTGCCCTTCTTTTGCACCATCGAGGGCACCACAAACTACCGAGAGCCTCGTTGCTGTGACAGCTGAGCGCTCCTGTGCCGTAAGCAAGCACAGATGCTCAACTGCGCCGGCTGTCGATCACAACGGAGGTATTTTGAAGTCACACACGATCCCATGCTCTTCGTGGTTTCAACTTTGGATTGAATTTGTCTCTGAATGATTTGCAGCCTGATGAATCAGGCTACATGTTTAATTACGGAGTGGTTGTCTCTTCCCTCGCATGGCAGAGAGATCGCCCGTTCCTGAGCCTTGGAGAGGCGGATTCGGCCTTAAAAGGGCCCCATTGAACGAGGCGTACTGTTGGCTCCTTGGAGCTTTGATCCATTTCCAGCCCAACTGGCCCGCTAAGCTGCGCCATTGTGGCATCGATCTATATAGATCGTGACAATTATTTATTACTCTGCTGGCATTAAATAGAGACGGCATTACACCACTAGGTGGGTGGTGTAGTGTGGTTTGAATCTTTCAGGTGTATGGCTACCCCGAACGACTAGGTCGGACGTGTTTGCCATTGCATGAAACACGCGCAGCAAGATTGCAAAGACTTGATGTGGACAGTGGACACTGGCAAGGGTTGCCAGTGCATTAAGTTTATTAAAGATAAGATCCATGACAGGAAGCTATGATCAAGAGACTGGGATAGAATGGCTCAGACCCCATTGAAATGGATATACAGTAGAGATCAAAGTGGGCATCCGAGAATTTGGAGCGAATCAGAGATCACTTCGAAAGATGGGGAGCCCATATCACCTGAAAAAATGATGTCATCATTATTTGATCTAATTTGATCGTGTGCTGTGCTCGGTCTGTTCTGCTAGAGTTGCTTTGGCTGAAGGTCGAGGGACTAGTATCGAAGTAGTTTGCTGAGTCATTTGATACAGAGTTGCTATGCTTTGTTGTGGAAGCACTTGCCTGGAATGCTTTTTCATTTTCTGCTTTGCTTTAAGGGCTGCTTGGCTTTCTGCAGCGAAGGACGACATGACACAGGCTTTTTGAATTCGTTGGGTTGCCTGAAATGATCAAGCTGCCAAACTAGATATGGTTGTGTTTGTTTGAAGTATTTATGATGAACCCACTGCAACGAATATGAAATGGCTTCGTCTCAAATTTAAATCTCTCTGTGAAGCATGCTTCAATGTTGGATGCGAATTTCTACAGTACATACTCGTGATCCATACGCCTGAAGTACTCTGAAACTGTGCAGCAAGTTCTACCAGCAGATCCTTATGGAACATGTGGTTTTGCCTCTCAGTAGCTTGCTTTCCTCCTGCCTTGTTGCACCGAGCGCAAACACCTTGCAAAACACCTTTCAAATCGTTTAACCTTTCAAGGCACAGACGGGAGAGCACACTCCAGACTCTCAAGACAATCTATTTGTTTTAGGGAAATGCTGCATGTGCACTACAATGTTGCTTAAGATGAGACTGTGAGTGTCCTTCCTGGCACTGTGGCATGTTCCTGGGTTTGATCCTGGAACATGCAACCGAATCCGAATCACTGTTTGGCCTTTCCTTGCTAGCCCTTGCACAGAATTAAGAAGGGTCGGCCGCTGAAGCATTCTAAGATCCCGGCTTATTCGGGTATCATATGCATGCAAGTGTTGCTCGCAGCACTTTCCAAAAGCCGTTACACTTGCACATCTCAATCTCAATCCTTCTTTCTCCAAAGCGGAGAAGGGGAACGAGAGCACCTCAACAATTTTGACAGTTTTAGACCAACCCAGTTTACAGCCTGAAGCAGTTCGAAGAGTTGTTGAGTGCAGTGCAATCGGTTAGGGCAGACCTTCGACGGGTGCATTTAGGATTCAATAATCCCAAATTCCGTGCCCCAAAATTAAATTTGGAACCGGTGGCAATGTGGAGTGGATGATGCACCCAAGTCACGGCAAGCCCATTGATAGAAATTCAACGGGAGAGAGAACGGGTAACAGGTGCAAATTAGTAGGCCTGCTGATTTCAGGAGGAAGGTTCTACTCAACAGGGCTGTTCTCCAAGTGTTTAGTCGACTTTTTTTACTACTGTTATTTTTTTTACTTTAGGGTCAGATGACTCAGATGCTTGAGTGATTTCGCATGGTTTGGCCCTAGTCAACATGGCCATCAACCATCAGCTTTCACGTTGATTCAAACGAATCATACACGCAACAGAGTTCCAGATTTATGTTTGCAAGACTTAGCGAGTCAACGTGTCACATGATATGGATTTGCAACGACATGAGCTTGATTTTCAGCGACTGAATGCTAACCAGCATTGCTAGGCCCTGCTAGGCTGCATTGTTTACAAGCACCTTTGCCCTTCGCCATCCTTCGCCTCTCCTCTCTTGCTCCACGGCTTAACCTGGTACTGTCGATGCTGTCCACCCTGCAGGAATTAGCCAGGGCGAAGTCCAGCCTGTTGAATCCCCAATGAAAACCTCCAAAGCCACAGGACCGAATCCGTCGGAAGTGACACACGTTTCATACAGAGTCAACATGTCAACTTGTACCACATCAAAACTTCATGAAGTCAGCTTCGACTGTGGTGGAGGGTGTCCAGGGGTTGAGCCAAAAGCCTCATGCCTGGACATGGGATGATCTGAAAAAGGAACCAGTCAGCTGCTGTTGCTACCTGCCTGTTTCGTTGCAGAAGCCATTGAACCCATATGAGCGCGTTTCGTGGCTTTGGGCCGACGCCCAACGAAAGACGTAGAAGTAGCACGAAGTAGCGGGCACCTGGGCACATGAGACTGTAGGACTTTGCAGAGGACTGAGAGGCAATTCACACGATGCCCGACATGCTTCCTTGAAGAAGCGTGAGCTATCCTGCGTCCAGTTACTAGGAGCGAACTTCTCCTGTTACTAGTAGTAAGGCACTTGTTTCTAATAGCTTCTTGTTACTACTAGTAAGGCACTTGTTTCTACTAGCGTGGCACTTGTTCCTAGTAGCCTACCTCCTAGCGGCCTACCCCCCTTTAAAAAAAAGAAAAACATTGTGCATGGCTCAAATGTCCAATTCTTCGCCTTGAGTGTGGTTGTCCAGATTTCTTGGATTCAGCACGAGTCTCAGCTTCAAGTATTGCGAAAGGAGTTCTCAAATGCTCAGGAATTCTCAACATATATCCCCGCAAAATACAATTATATATATAATATATCTTCATATCCAAATACATGCATTGTTTTCATATCCAAAGACAATTCTCTCTCTCTCTCTCGCTTTCTTTGACCCAGTGCCAAAGAGCCCTGGCCTCAACTATCGCTATCCAAGGAACAAGAATGCTTGGTGATGTTTTGTTTGCGGTTTAGTTGGTCGTGGAACTACCCCGCAGTCAGCGCCCCTTGAAGCCATCCCGTTGCTGACCGGGCGATTCTGTGACACTTGTGACTTTTTGAACCGCCGAGGCATGCTGCGTGTGACCGCCCGGCGGCTTGCACGTCGAGTAGGCCGTGCATTGATGAGGGATGAGTAACAAAGGGCATCCCTACTAGGAGCAAGGACGCTACTAGGGGCTCCTGGCCATACTACTAGGAACATGTAGGAACAAGAAGCTACTAGGGGCTCCTGGCCTTACTACTAGGAGCAAAGGACTCTACTAAGTTGCCAGGAAACTTGTTGAGCTTGACTCGCAGGGGCCAAACCTGCGGCGGCTGCAAGCAATGTACCAGCACCAGCACCAGATGACTGGGAAGAGGTGAGTTGAATCCAAAAACATTTTCGATTGCTGCGTTGCTGGGTGGGCAACTGCAAAGGGAACCTGGGTTATTTCTTGGCCTTAGTCTCAGGTGCCTGACAAAGCTTCCGGCCAGTCCTACTGGTGGAACAAAAAGACCAACGAGGACAGTGCATCTTCAAGAAACATGAACTCTTAAAATTGGCCTAGAAACAAGGACGCCACGAGGGCTCCTGGCCTTACTACTAGTAACAAGAAGTTACTAGGGTCT